AAAAGTACTTTAAACTGTATAAATAATGTAAAATTAAATTGATTTAAACAGCCAATCATACAAAAGTCTTCCTATGAGTTCCTATGCCCGTAATATTTCTAATTAAAATTTTATTGATTACGTCATGGTCGTGGAAAAATTTTTGATATTTCATGGCATTAGGTAATCATAAAAATATCATCAGGAATGTTCATGGGAGAATATTAGGGGCCGTGGGATATAAATAAATATTTATTAGTTAATGATTTGACTCATATATAAAACCTCCAACCAAAATTTTCTTGTAGCTCTAAAATGATTTTTTTTTTTTATCCGTAGCATAGTTTTTATGCTAATAAAAGGTTTATATTAACTTTTTTTGGCATCTGGTTTAATAACTTTATGCTGTCTTAAAATAGACTTTACCCACAATCATACGATTCCTTTATCAAGTAGGTTTATTTATTAAGTCAACAAGTCAACTTTTTTTTTTAAAAAATCTGGAACAAATTTGGCTGTTTTTGAATTAGTGTGATCAATGAATTTTGTGAATTTTATAAATCCTGTACATTGCATTGTTTTAACAATGGTAATATGCAGGACAAAGAATTTACAAAATTCATTGATCGCACTAATTCGAAAATAGCGATACCCTTTTTAGTAAATAATTGTTTATATATATGAGTGCATATAATTCTCATGCTTGATCCGTTATCTATTAGTGAATCTATTTACATGTAAAAAATGTAAAATACATATAAAAATAGAGATGTTAAATAGTCCGATCCGATCCTAGGATCTAAAAGGACGGTCCTGGACTCGGTCCTTAAATCATATGATTAATACAATACAGTTTATAGGACCTAGATCTAAGTCCTTTAAAATGTATTGTGTTTTCATGTGACTTAAGGACCAAATTCTTGGATTCGATCCCAAAGGACCGATTAACATCCCTACATAAAAAAGAACCAGTTCACATGTTGAATCTAATTTACAATTGTTCTTTGTAACTATTAAGTGCTTCTGGTTTCCTATGTAGCTTAAGTTGGTTCTTTCACAAATAATAAGATGATTCTTACATATTCACATTTTATCATTATTAGTATAAGTTCTGCTTGAAGGAAATTTTGCTTTGGTTTTTTTAGTTTATAAGTTAAGCATGATTTCTAATAAAAGATCTGAATAACATATTAAAAATAAATAAATAAATAAATAAATAATAAAAAGATAGGGTCCTTTCATATTTAATATGTTGGCATCTGATCAAACGTTAAGAACCTTTTAATTGATTGATGTGATGTAAAGAAATGACATAAATCTTAATAATTATCAAAAATTCTGCTAACCGTACTTTCTATATCGATATATATTATTTAGTGCAAATAGATTTAGAATCGTCATTATTACGTAAAGCATGATATTATCTAACTATATTGTATATATTTATTTAATCATTGATTCTAAGAAATTATTATGACATAAATTGTTGTATGCTTACAAAGTTTCTTTAGTATATATATGAGATGCACCTTTAATCTAATTTTTTTTACTCACTTTGCATATAAAACTTTCAATTATTATTACCCATTATTATGATGTCTAACAATCAGGTTATTAAAAAAAACCATACAGCAGTTAGTGATAGCTTAAAAGGAGATATTTGTAAATATCATAAAGAAAATCCCAATAAGACTCAAGTACAAATCACTGAGCACTTTAATGCCCAAGATCCAAACTGGAATCTTGACCGTTCAACTATCTCTAAAATTCTCAAAAAAAAGGATAAATGGTTGACCATCGTTAAAGATAAAACAACTTCTGATACTTTTCATCATAAAAAAGTAAATTTCCTTTGCTAGACCAAGCTATGAAGTTATAAGTTGAGCAAGTTGTTAGTAATGGGTTATTTTTAACTGAAGCACTTATCAAAGAAAAGGCTGCTTATTTTGTTAAGGCACTTTCGTTGCCAGATAATGGATTAAAATTTTCTAATGATTGGATAAGACAATTTAAAAAGTGGAATGGTTTACAAAATTTCAAATTACATGGAGAAGCTGGCAGTGTAACAACCAGTAATCTTCCAAAATTCAGACAAAATTTACAGAGTAGTATTCGAGAATATGCATTGAATGATGTATTTAATGCAGACGAAACAGGATTGTTTTTTCACATGGTGCCAAACCAAACATTAGCATCTCAATCTCGTTCAGGATGGAAAAAGGAAAGTAATTTTTAGCTATTATTGTAGTAAACCCTCTATAAATGCAACCATTTAAAACTTTAGCAATGAGATTTAAAGCATAATAAGAAAAGTACATTTATAGAGATTAATATGAACTGAATTTATACATACGTTTAGAGTGTGTGTGCACTTATAGTAAGTGTGTTACTTATTTTAATAAATAATTTAGATCTAATTATTGTAAATTTGAATTAAAAATTTAAACTATTAATTAGAGATGAGCATCATTAATAATATAAAAATTATATCAGATGTTAAAGTTTTATATGTTATATTATGGGACAATTAAGCGCCATGTATTGATAAAGCACATGGTGCCCACCTCTACTAATATTTTATACTATTATCAGCTAAATTCTTTTAATAAATTTAGGATTGTACTCACATTACTGTTCTTTTAGCATGTAATGCCACTGGTACCGAGAAATTAAAGCCTATTGTAATAGGATCTTCAATCGAACCATGAGCGTTGTCTGGTATTAACCATGCTAATTTACCTGTAACATACCATTCTAACTCAAAAGCATGGATGTGAAGTGACATATTCACAGAGTGGTTAAAAGATCTTGATAATCAATTTCGACTTCAAAATCGAAAAATTTTACTTTTACTTGACAATGCGACAAGCCATTTTAATCCAAACTTAAATTCATCCGATGAAGAGCCTGGTCATAGTGACTCTGAAGAATTGCATTCTACTAGGTCAAATAGTTATAGTCGTGGCCGTGGTCGTAGTCATGGTCATAGTCGCCACAATGCTACTCCAAATAACCAACAAAGTCATACTATTCAACAAAGCAAGGGCAAGCACGGTAGAAGCCGGGCAAGTGTTTATACACTTCCTGACTTATCTAATTATCAACTTACAAACATTCAAATTAAATTCTTGCCTGCTCTTACCACTTCTTATCTTCAACCCATGGATGTGGGAATTATTAAGTGCTTCAAGGCAAAATATCAAAAAAAATACATTCACCATATTCTAGATCAATTTGAGAGAAAAGTAGATATTCGAGATTCTGAGTAAGTATGTTATATATTTAAAAGAAAGGATGTGCACTTATAGAGGTTTTACTGTATAGTAAAAGCTTTAACAATACACACTAAAGAATAATAAGAAATATGGATTTTATAAAGCTTATACTTATATATTACATAAGCCCGCATTTGTGTTGTATTTAGAGAAGGTATGCACTTGTAGTAAGTGCACTTCTAGAGATTTTACTATAATGTACAATAATAAATTATTATTATTATTTTTTTTTTTGTTAGAAATAAATTAAATATTAGAGAAGCCATTGATTACATAGCAACTTCATGAGATGAAGTGGATGAATTAACAATGGTAAATTGTTGGAAAAAGACAGGTATTTTGCCACTAGTGCCGCATGTTGATGTTGAACTTGCGCAGCATATATATTTAGAAATAATTGAATATGAGTAAAATGAAATAATTGATCTAACTGAAAGTGCAGATCCAAAAGTTTCACATGGAATAGATTCCTACTGAGAAATTAATAATGCTTATATTCCTATGGAAGAAACACTTGACGATACCCAAATTGTCGAAACTGTATTAGCAGAACAATTAGAATGTAAACAAGGTGATCCAAAAGATTCTGACGAGAAACCGCCAAAAATCTCTGCTTCTGAAGGGTTAAATGGGTTGAAAACTTTTATTTCATTTGCAGAACAAATGAATAATGATTTTTTCTTTAATAACAATGACATAAAAGTATTTCGAAAATACTTACAATTAATGAAGTGAAAAACTACCAAATCTATGAAACAAAAATCTATTGTAGATTTTCTTAATCAGGAAAATCAAGCTATTAACGATGAATGTCTTGATGATAATTTCTCTGGCAGTGGTAATAATGATTTCTCTGATCATGGTAATGATGATGAGTTTTATGATATTTATTCTAGTGACAGCCTTTCTGATTATAACAGTCTTCCTGATTATGATTTTCCTGATTATGATAACTACAATGGTTCTTCCGATAATTATGAGAACTAAATTGCATAGATAATTTTATAAAACGTACAATTAACATTTGAAGTCAAGTAATTTTTATAAATTTATATAGTAGGAATATGTAAGAAATAAATGCATTTTTAAAATAAATATGTGTATTAAATAACTTTACGCACAGTAACAATAATATTTGCAATTCATGATAACACAACAAAATAATCTTGAGGATTATATTGTGGCCATATAATAAAGAAATTATCACTTAAGAATTCCTTTATTATGACTTTAGTTAGTTGTGAATATAAGACATATACAAAAGTAGTGTTAGACTTCTCTTAAGCTTATGTATCTTTTAATGGCAAGTTATTTTGTAATAAAAAAGCTTTTTTTTAGCTGACATTGATTTAATTAGCTGCCTGATACAAAAGTATCAGAGCAGCCTTTTGTCTCAAATCGGTCATGGGTTGATCGTCTGATGCACTTTCTATTGGTGACTAACTTCTCTTATAGTTTTATAACTACAATAAACTAATGCAGTTTCTTTTCTCCGCAGCAAAATCTGGAATATGCAATATATGTTAAGTGTTGGTTCCCTCACTTCACTGACATTTCTTTTATAGACACAACACACAAACAATCAATTCACAGACATGTTTATTTTACAGATAATCAATTCACAAACAAGTTCATATCATAGACAGTTTATTTTACCAACAAGCTCATTATGTAGACAGTTTTTTTACTGACAACTCATTTCATCGGCGAAGTAATTCTAGTCATGAGCATTAGGGTTAGTTTAGAACTAGAGTTAATGTAATTTATAAGAAATAAGCTCTTCTGTGAAATGAGCTTTAGCAAAAAAACTGTCTACAAAGTAAGCTTGTCAGTAAAATAAATTGTTCATGAAAAAACTTGTTTGTGAATTGATTGACTGCAAAATAAACATGTAGATAAATTAATTGTCGAAGTGATACATATCCGTTAAGTGTTAACATATAGAAAACTTTTTGCAAAAACATCCGATTCATTATAAATAAAGTTGTGGTAATTCTGAAGAAAAATTGAATTAGAATGAATTGAAATATGCGATATACATATAATGATATATATTTCACAGCATGTTAAATAAATATTTTCATGAAGCTTTTTTTAAAAAAAAATTAATATTATGCTGAAATTATAGTAGTTTTGACTGACCTTAATAAAATATTGAAAATTTACTTTAAAATAAATAAAGGAGGGGTCCGTATTATTTCACTGACAATCACTTCATAGACACTACATTTCACTGACGATTATTCATTGACAAGTTCATTTTACCAACAGTCTATTTCACTATAGCTCAGTAAAATGAACTTGTCAGTAAGTAATTGTTAGCGAAATATGGTGTTTACGAAGTGATTGTTGGTGTGTTGATCGGATCCCATAAAGGAGATATATTCGAATTTAAATTTCTTCTGAATTATAACTTTCTCTATATCGAATTGGATATTGTCAAAAAGTTTTTCTGAAGATTAATATTTACAATATTAAATTTAACTTTATAGCTTATTATAAGGATAT